GAATAAATCTTGCACAATAAGTTCGCCAGGCAGAACAGAAGACCGAGGCGGCAACCCCTTCAACGGGAGGAACGGGCGTCAAAAAGCGCTCAAAGCACCAAAAGCAAATGACACGAAGGGCGGCAAAAGGACGGGGCGAAAAATGCCCTTATCAGTTTCCTGTTTCCTGTCGAAAGTTTTCATATTTTTCGAGGGACGCCGCGGCCAGAAACAACAATAAAAGTGAACAGCAAACGACAATGGCAATGCACTCAGCATTTTCCCTTTGAAGAAGTAATATTTCCACCTATTGAAAAGACTTGATTCATTTTTTAAAAATCATAGCTTCCCTTACGGATTATACAAGCCTGTTGCAGTAACCATATAGGTAATGTATAGCTTGCCTGTTTTTTTTTCTGTGTAGCCCACAACACAGAAAAGCACATGGAAAGTGTTGCTATTTTTTCGCTTCGTTCCCGGTTGTTCTGCTGGTGCTTTTTTCCCATCCCACTGATAGTTCAGTAACCGATACCCATGGCTGAGGTGCCCTGCAGATACCCTGTAGCCCACAAACCATATTCCTACAACTTTCAAAGGGCCTATTTCAATTTAGTATAGAAAAAAACAATTTTTCATAACCCGAACCTTGGAAGTCTTCATCCAAATCAAGGATATTCAGTTCGTGTACCCGCGAGATTTCCTCGCTCTCTGGGTTTTTTCTGCGCCACTTTCTTCATTGTGGTTGCTATTGTTGCTCAGTTTCACTTCAGCTTTTGCAAGGAATTTCAGGGGAAGGGCGGCGACTGAAACCACAATAAAAAGCAGGAAATATTTAAGCATTTTTCTTTTAGTTTTGCATGGCGAGAGTGGGCGGCAAAGGGAGGCGGGAGGGGCGGTATTTTCACACTTATTGTCAGATTTTGTTTTGTTGCTGTCTTCCTCTTCTTTTTCTTGTGAAATGACGCACAGCCGGGAGATAACACGTCTGTGGGTGTAGTTTTTATGGTGTACCTAAAAATGTAGCCAACAGTGTTGTCAGGTTTTCGGGACGTTGAGAGATGCCCAACGAAATGGCCCTCAGAATTGGGATGCATTTCTTTTTGATTTTCTTCCATTAATAATCCAAAAATGTTTTGGGCTTAGTTTTAATGAGCTTGTCATTCCGTTGGTCTTGTGAGTTTCGCGATTCTGTGGTGAGTTGGACATCAGAGAAGGTGCGTTTTTAAAGAGACAATGCAAAGCATTGTGCACCCAATTTGTTTTGCCTTTGTATGCCCTGATGACGTACTTCAATTCGCAGGATATGTTCATAATTCTGAAAGGCCCACTCCCTCGCAGCCCTCAGTGCCATCCCCCTTTTCAGCTTTTCACCGCAGTCGGTGTACAGGACGCTACAGGCAACAGTTTACACGGGAAAATAAGAATATGGATGCCAGATAACCGGAGCACTCATCAATGCCAAACGAGCAGATGAAAAGTGGGTGGAAAGCGGTTAGGGAAATTGCGGTGGGGTTAGTTGATGGCTCGAAGAAGAAGCACATTCATGGTTGACCCCTTTATGTTGGCCCACTTGAGAGGGCTTTGTGTTATCAACCCGCCAAAACCTCGACAGATTCGTTTTGAATTTATTTATTAAAGTTATTCATACAATTGAGCTATACGAAAATGGAAAATTATTGTTAATTGACCCCAAGAAGTATGTATTATTGGACAACCCTTGACATCTGCCTCTATTCTTGATTTTACCCTCTTCGCGCGGCAGCGAAACCTATTTCGCAGATAATTCGAGCATTTTCGCGATAATATACTCTGTGCCATGTGCAATTTCGCCACCCATCGATCCCGAGGTGTGCGAAAGTCGTCGAGCACGTAGTGTCTGAAAATATTGATATGTGTGTGGATCCGAATTTGCATATGCACGGGCGTGGGAGTGATGGGTTCTGTTCGTGTTTGACAATAAGTTTGTGGATCTGCTCTCCTTTTCCTTCCCTTTGTGTAATGCGAGTAACACTTATCAAAAGTTTGTCGCTAACACATGCAAATTGAAATGTGCGCTTTACACAGGCACACAGTCACATCCGCACAGCTACTCACACGCACATTTGGTCACACTGTTGTTGCCTGTTCGCAGTGTTTTTGTGTTTGTTGTCGCACACGTACGCGACACATGCAGCTGTTCCTCGCTCCGCCACCTCCAGTCGTCCTTGTCCACATGGCCTCCAACTTTCGCCCGCTTTAACACCTAACAACTAAGAACAAGCGCCAGTTCTTGGCTCGATTTGCGGACCACAGTGATACCTCTTAGCCTACTCCTGGATTTGTTTAAAAGTATCTAAAAATGTAATTGCTTGCCCAAAAGCAGAATAGTAGGAATATGAAATGCAGTACATGTGATTCAAAAACACTTCCTATACTATATACTATAGATTATCGTCTAAGGTAGTTCCCATAACTCCTTCACCGCCTCGATTTGCGAGGATATTGTGTTCGCTGCATACTTATTACTGCTCCAGCAGGTGTCTGCCAGACAAGGACGATGGAGGGAGTTTTTCAAATTCAAAATTCACACACACCTGGCCCCATCTTCGCCCGGAATTGTCCCTTTTGTGTGGGGAACTTGGAACACGAGTTTTAGAAACAAAAGTTTTGGTTTTGGTTTCTTCGTTGTCCCAGAAGTTTACCTGGAAAAGTGGAGGAAAAAGAGCTAGATTAGTAAACCGTGTGTGTTGGCGAGGACATATTTGTGCCCATTTGTATAGGTGTTAATAATCCCGGGATAAAATCAATGCTTTGGAACTGAAATGATAAGCATTTCCCTTGAAATATAATACTTTAGCTTGAGTTAAGATTCTATATCAACTGGAATATTGGATTTCATTCGTGACAAGATTTCATACATGGCCTTATAATATAATTAAAATTCTATATATTCCTATTAATGTCTCTTGAGAAAACAACATCTGGAACATCTTGGAAGCTCGCTAGTAGTTGTAATTTAACTACACTCGCTTTTAAAACTTTTCCCTCATCCTCTCTGTGATTTTTTCGCTCTTTCTGCGGATAATTGCCGTAAAGTTTTCGTCGTGGCATTCAAGGAATCGCACTTTGATTTGTTGCAGCGCATTTCAGCTGATGGCGGAGCAGCTGCAATTAATTTTAGCGAATCGGGTGGTAAAAATTGCATAATGGCATAATTATGCGTCCCCCTGCCGCAGAACGCCGAACACCGAACGCCGAAAGTCGGGGGCGTAATTGAGTTATTTAGCGGAAAAGTTAAAGGCACTACTCACAATTTAAGATGACTGGCACCCGCTGACAAGTTAAATGCGCAGCGCCGCACATCCGGAATCTAGCGTCTATTGGATAATTAAGCCACTTTGTGGCAGCTTTGACAGCCCTGACTTTCGGTCCTGTCACATCCTGGCCATCGCAAGGATTGCGATGCCTCCGAGGACCCGGGCGCTGACAGTTAAAGTTCAATTAAATTCTAGTGCGTCCTCCTATTTACCGACATTGAAATATTGAAAATTACGTCAATTTGGGATTTCGATTGGGATTGCGAATGCGATTGGGACTGGGACTGGGACTGGGATTGTGTCGGCTGCTTATCTGACAGAACGCAGAATGCAGAATGCAGAATGCAATTCGAAACTTTTTCCGCCCGGCGCTGGAAAAGTTGCTCCTTCCGAGGGCAAATGGAAATCGTGTGGAACGAGATCGACCACCGAATGTCAGCTGGAGGCCAGCTGCAAACGGACAACTTATGATGATTTCGGGAAAAGTAATTGGCCATGAATATGCGAACTGAAAAAGTTTTATGTGTGTTTATCGACGAGTATGCAGATCAATGGAAATACACAAACGAGTGCTGTGGGCTTTAATTTATTCCTTGGCCACAATTATTTTGTATTGTTAATTTGTATGTTTTAAGAAACACCAATAACTGTCAAAGGAACTAAACAACTTATTCGAAACTAGCATATCATTACTCGAGCCTAACAACTAGATTCAATGGCACCTATTTACTTAAACTTGTTGGGAAAAGAACTGTTTTATGCATACTTTACCCACAAGGTTTTCAACAAAGGATCATTCCTTTCCTTCATTGAAAAATGTGTATATTCCGTGGTTCGAGTAACCGATTTTATAGCTACTTCTGGATTCTGTTGAGTAAACTGATTTTAAGCAATCTGGGTTGTGCCAACATGCAGATATTATGAAATGCCTTGTATGCTGGCCTGGCTGCAAGATAACTGCCCCACTAACCTGACCCGGTATTCTATATTCTGAATTCTGGATCCTGGACCCTGGACAATGGACCCTGGATAGTCGCACTAACCTGTCGCAATTCGGGACGTCTAAAGCGGACTTCCAACCCCCCAACCCCGCCACTCCACTCCACTCCACTTGGTCGTGTGGCCGCAGAAGACCCTGCAGCCGGTGGCCAAATGCCACCACAGCTTGTAGCAATTGTCGTTCCATTTGTCAGGCGAATGCGGACGACACTCCTCCTCCGGGCGACAGGGCGCCTGCGCCGCCAAGAGTCCCCCGCGGGCGCCACCAAGTGCTGCGTTCCACCACGTGCCCGCCGTGTGGATCGCGTTCGGCACATGGTGGACGGCGTTCGATTCGAACATCCACTTCGACAATTGGCAACGAGCGTTCGTCACCGGGACGTTCGGGCTCCCCTTCGGATTTACAGTATCCAACGGCTAACGGGTACGACCGCACTTCGCGTGGCTTCGGCCCGGGCTCGCGTCCCTTCGGCCCCGACAGGACCTTCGTCCTCGGTCGTCCCGGAGGCTTCAGCCGCGGATTTCGGTAGCTGCATCTTCAGTTGATCAACGGCGGCGCTGTCGGCTGGTTGAAAAACGGAGGAACGCTACTCGAGTCCTGTCGCTGTTAACACGGAGAGCTCGCGTAGCTAAAAAATATATTTTACAGATTGGTATACGAGAAAGCAACTCTGTTTGGTATACGCCAACTCTTGGGTGGATATTTTTTTAAATTTTTTCTGTGCAGTGAAACTGTTCTGTTCGCGGGCCGATCGCAAATGTCGTTACGGAGTCAGTAATACCAAATGCCACACAAAGTCACAGCGAAGCGGTCAATGCGGACTTCCCAACTGGCAGGGTCCGATCGGAATGGCAGAATGCTGATTCATCTGCTCGTCTTCGTTTCGCTCACGGAAGGTAAAAGGATCGGGAGGGTATAACCACCTCCGCCTCGACGAATAGAACCCCAAGAACAATTATTCGAACCTACAGAGTGGTTAAAACAAAACCCGAACAGTGTTGGCTAGTTAAAAAAATCTCACTTTCAGCTGGGTGAAGTGTCCAAAAAGATAATTGGGCTTTAAAGTAGCACACGGCGGCAAAAGCACAAATGTGGAAACCAGATCTGTTCAGCAGTGGGCTTCTAGCCAGATCCGTTCGAAAGGGCTTATATACGCGAAGGAATATCGGGGCTCATAGAGGCTTATCAGGCCTATCGGTTCACTCCGCCTGAGTGCAGGGCCGCAATCAGTGTTGTGCATCGATGAACAGGAAACGGATGTCGGAAGGACACATTCCGGCGGGCAATTGAACGCAAACCGACTTGATAATTGTTTCGCCGTAATGCGAGTCGATTAAGCCCGCTGCTGGGGAGCGGGAAAATCGGAAAATCTGAAAATCGGAAAATCGTGCGATTAATAACTGCTGAAGACTGCTTAATGCACTGTCATGGCTACCACCCTGCCCTCCGCATTTCGCATCTCGCATTTCGCATTTCGCATTTTGCACATTGCATTGTTGCCATTGGCAATTGCCATTTGGCATTAAAACGTATAAATAACAAACAAATAAATAAATACACAAAAGACAACGGGCTACATCGAAAACTGAACACTGGCCATTCAATGGCGATTTAATTGACTCCCTTGCTGACTTCCACACACATCCGTGCTCTCGTTTTCAAAGATGATCCTTTTAATATCGCGACTCGTCCGTCGCTGCTCAATGGGATGGTACAGTTGTGGCCGATGAAAAGGACTTAATTATTTGGGTTTTAGTTGGCATAAAACAGCGCTTACGCATATTTTATTTTTTAATTGTGGATAGCAAATTGATCTTGGTGAATTGCAGCTTATTTGTACTTTTAAAAAGTGAGTTTTTTTATCGACTTGCTGTTAAATGATTCCTCAAAAAACAAATGTCATGGATTAAACATTTTTTAATTCAAAAACAAGCAAATAATTAAAGCATTCGAATAATCAAAAGGAAGTAAAATACATTAAACAAGTTGACCAATTCACTCTCGATTCGCTCGACCGTGCGCACATATTTCTCGCTTCATTTTAATTGTGTAAAATTATGTTTTCACCTCGCAGCTTCCCAAAGTTTCCCCGCTTTCCGCCGCTTTCCCTCACCTGGCCGGCGGTGATTGTTGGGCCGATTGTCTGCCTGTCGTCTGATAATTGTTAAAAATGGAGTGCCAAATGGTTCACGTCGGCGCGACAATCACAAATACTTTCCTTCCTCGCATTAAATATTTACAGCCCCGCCATAATTGTTTGCGATTCGTTCTAAACCAGTGGCCTTTGTTTTACTCCCCAGAGAATGCGGTTGACTCTGAATCGTATCATTAATTTTGATTTGCCTTGGGCTCCGCCAAATGGCTGGTGAGCCGAGCTAATTGGCAAATCACCTATTAAATGGCTTCTTGAATCGGTATCGAAGGGGCCACTACTTGTATTCGTTTAACTAACCCATTTGGGAACTGAGTTGCTAACCAATTGCACTTATCTGTCGGAAAAACACGTACCAAAGTGATCCGTTGTTCCGTAGTTAAGCCTGAGTTGATGGGAAAGCTGATGGGAAAGCCTGTGCATAAGCCTGCAGCTTTAGGTTTCTAAATCTATAACTTTACATGTGTCAATGGACCGGTTGGATAGGTGGATTGGTTGGTGTGACAAAAAGCGGGAAGGCTGACCAGAACCCATGGCATAGAGCTGATAATTATGCACGGACGTGGCCCACGCTGTCCTGGGTCCGCATAAATATTAAATACATGCAGATGTGCATATTTAAGGCACTTAAATCACGGCAAACAATAATTCCCCTGCGACGGCGGTGCGGGTGCGGCAGATGGGATGTAATGGCAGCTGATAATGATAAACATAAAAGTGAAAATAATTTTCAATTACAGCAACATTAATAACCGATAATAATCCTAAGCAAACATAATGCCAGGCGTTTGCATGTGCAACTGAGAGCTGTGTGTTTCGTGTTTGTTGCTCTGTGTGCATATCAATGATATGCAAATTAATTGCCAAATAGGACGTCGCCCGTAAGACCACCCACCGCCCACCACGCACCACCCACCACCCACCACGCACCACTTTCCGGATGTGAAATGTAAGCTAAACCGCAATATGGCCAGCGGCCGAGCGAGATAGCGCCATTAATGGCCATTTTGTACTGTCCCCCGGGTGACTTAATTGCTACCAACAACACCAACAACACCATCGCCCCCTCAGTCCATCATTTTCCATCCGCCCACATGGCCATGTACCGCCTTTGTTTTTTAAGTTGCAGCTTTCAACTCTCCCGCGCTGGATTTATTCGCGATTTTTTCGTCGGCGGTTCTTCGGCTTTTAGCGCTTGCGGTCAGCGGGAAAAGCCGCAGACGGAGTTAGTAGTAGTTTCCCCGGCAGCCGGCTGGCTGCAAGAAAAAGTTGCTCCACACCAGAAAGCGCGTCATTTGTAATTAATTATATGTGACGCCCGAGGAGGGAGATCCGAAAACGGAAGGGTAAATGCGGAGACTGAAGTTGCTCCCTGGAACGCAAGGGGATTAAAGGTCAAGTTGCAAAAGTGCGCAGCCAAATAGGTTAATGTGTTTTAAAGCCGATAAAAGGAGGCCAAACGACACCCATCCCCCTGGCGAAGGGTTACACAAACCCAGTTAAATGACTTCAAAATGTTGTATACGTGTTTAGTGGATGCAGTTTTGAGGAGCAACTAACTAAGATGAACTAAGATTTGTGATCGAATTGTGATTGTTCAAGTGTAACAATCAAACGCCACCTCACCCAAGGGCCATTGAGCAACTCGAAGATCCTTGCTAAACTTTGTCAATTAAAGGGAAACCCTTTTCAAAACAAAACAAAAAATGTCACACCAAAGTGTGAAACAGAAATCAAGACACAATTAATTGCGTGACATTTGTTAGGAACCGAAAGGGAAAAGGCCGAGAAATTTAAATTGAATTTAAGGGGATTGGCGGTAGTTCGCCGACGACGATTTGCAAAAATGCTAATTTCAATGCCAGCCGACACTCATTTGCAGGCAGCTCCTTGTTTTTCCCGCTTTTCTTTTGCTGCCCAAGTCATTTGTTTGTCTCGGAATTAAAGGCGGGACTCTCGGACCCCCTTCGATTTTGGCCTCAGTGTTCAGTTTCCAGTTTGCTGTACTCAAGTTTGCCGACTCCAGGGGCCAGGAGCCCACTCTGTTTCCCTTTTAAATTTGCCATTATCACCTATCATTGGTGCTTTGCCACTGGATTTGTGGGCCTGTCCAAGTGTGAGGCCATAAAAAACCAATGGCCAAGGAAAAGGTGACTGCGTGCAGTGAGAAAAATCGGAAGTAAGCCCTTTATTTAACTTTACATTCGGTGGATCTGATTGTCGAGCCATAGAGTGAAACCCCTTGGCTTCTGTTTCCAGTTCCGGTTGCTGTTTTTCTCGGAGTGCAGGAATCAGAAATCAGAAATCTCGTCCCCACTCTCGTTCCCATGCAGATTGGAATCTTGGCGTCTCAGTATCAGTGTCCTTGTATCTCTGCGTTGGGTGGCCTGGAGTCGCGTGGCTGCCCATTTGCCACCTGCCTCCAGCCACTGGCCACCCACACACATAAAAAGCCGAACGAAACTAATATGTTTCCCTGCTTAACTTTTGCCAATGTCCTTAGCCATAAATTTGCTTCGGCAAATCCTCATTGTCGTTGTGTGATTTAAACTTTTTCGGCCGGCGTGCGGGCCAAATGCGAAATGCGAAATGCGAAATGCGAAATGCGGAAAGGTACTTCGGGATGCGAGCCAAAAACCAAAAACTGACGAGGCTCCGAGCGGCGGAACCGAAAATTGAAATGAAGGCGGCGATTTATGGAGCGGGGGACCTGGATTTTGAGTGAGCCGGAGTCGGAAGTCGGGAGTCGGGGTTAATTGACTCCGGCTCGGTCTCGGTTTCGGTCTCCGAAAAGGACAGAAATCACAGAACAGAAACAGAAGCAGGAACGGCTGAAGGGCTCCGAGGAGTCTGACCCTCGACCAGAAGTCAGGCCAAAGTTCACAAACACTGGGGCGGCGGAGCGGTGGAGCGGTGGCAAATTCAGTGCCACTGGCAGGGGACCACCTTCTTCTTCGCCTACGACAGATTGACAAACAAGCCGCAGTCAGCCAAGCATCCAAGCAACAGCATCTGCATCTGCATCTGCATCTGCATCTGCATCTGCATCTCCATCTGTATCTCCATCTGTATCTGTATCTGTATCTCCATCTGTATCTATATCTGTATCTGCATCTGCAGTCCGCACATTGGCATTCAACTGGCCTTCGACTTTCGACCTTCGACCGAGTATTTGTCTATTATTGCGTTGCACTCAAATTGAGTCGAGCAATTAAATTTCAAACTGTCACACGGTTAATTGCAATTAACAAGGAATTTTCCATCTCGCAATTCTCGTTTGAACTCCTCAGCTGCCCTCTTATGTGATTTTAAGTGCCAAGCGATTCTTCAGCACTGCCGTACATTTGTTTCGTTAATTCGGTCATTGTTCTCCACTGACTGGCTGGAAATCGACATCGAACTCACCAGCAGATCAATAGCGCATTCAATCAACTCAATCTCGACTTAAACGCATTGCAGCAATTAATTCGCCAATGAATTTATTTGCCCGCCCAAGCCAACTTGCCGGAATACGTAGAGTATTTCTAGCTTGTGGCCGGCAAGTGGATTATCCGGATTACGAACTGTAGACGAGTGGTCGGAACTTGGCGAGTAAAGAGGAGCGGGCTCAGTTTGCATTTGGCAGGCGGCGCACAGTCACCGAAAGTGCGATAAATCATTGCCCCTGGCCAATTGAGTCAATTCAGCACATTCCTCGGCACATCTCGCCCTACAACCTACGTACACTATACATATATTCCTACACACAATATGCGTCCCGATCCCGTGCAATCCGTTCGAGAACGCCGCTGTCTATAAATATTTAAATTTCAAGTTTGCCAAAAGTTTTTTGCATGCATTACGATGATGTAGACGCCGCTGGAACGGGTAATCCGGGACATTTTCGGGCTTTTGTGGCCAGGACGGCAGTCGTGCGTGGCTGCTGCTGCTGCTGCTGTCTGCTGGTGCCCCTCGATCCGCCACGCCCCCTCCTCCCACCTCCTGTTTCGGTGGTATTATTATTTCCGTTCCACTGGGGTAGCTCGGACTCTACAGGAAGTCAATCCGCTTCTTTCAGTATTAGTTGTAGCAATTAATAACTTAAAGCAAAGAAAGTGTAATTGGTTTAGTGAAATAACTTCAACGAGTGTTCGAAACGCAGTGTTTTACTTGTGATCTGGTATCCGAAGAATGCTCATTTAGCTGAATATAAAGTGAAGAGAGTACCGCTTTAAATGGACTCCCCAGAAACAGGAAGTGTATCTCACCAGTCGCATGTTTTATTCGCCCTTCTCGATTTCTCCTTTTCCCCTTTTTACGGCCTGGAAACTTTTTTGCAGCACTTGCAAGTGAAATGTTTGATTTTCGATGATTCAATAAATTATTTATATTTGCGTGTGCCCCCCGTATTCGTAACCGTACCCTGACTCCGGACTGAGGACTCCCGACTCCGGAATCCGGACTGCGGACTGCGGACTGCGGACTGCGGACTCCCGGAGTGCCGGATGTCGATCTTCAATTAGCCGCCGCAGCTCTTTAAATTGTCTGCCGCCGGTCGTCTGGCACAGTTAAGTTGTTGGCAAGGCCGGAGTGCAGTGGGTGGATGGTGGGTGGTGGTGTAGTGCCGTGGTGGATGGTTGGACGGGTGGTTTCGGGCACATTTAAAAGCGATAAATCACGGACTTTTTGGCAGGCGCAACATGGGGGAGGAGCGGCTTTCCCCTGGTTACTGCGGGTGGTGAGGGGCGGGGGGGCCTTGGATGCGGAGCCAGTGAACCGCGCGATATCATTAACTGCAGCACACACACCGCCGCACTCTAATCCCGCTCCTTCTGGCTCCTTGCAGCGATTGGCGCCTTTCAGCCGGAGTTCGTGGAGAGCATTTCCAACGTGTCCGTGGCGGTCGGACGGGACGCCACCTTCACGTGTCACGTCCGACACTTGGGCGGCTATCGGGTGAGTCGATTGCAAGTTCGAAGTGAAAAACCCTTGCACTTCTGTTTGAATTGCATAGCACATTGCCTTTTTCCAAGCACTGTATCGCATTATAACTCGACGTTCTCCCCACTCAGGTGGGCTGGCTCAAGGCCGACACCAAGGCCATCCAGGCCATCCACGAGAACGTGATCACCCACAACCCGCGGGTCACGGTCAGCCACTTGGACCAGAACACGTGGAACCTGCACATCAAGGCGGTTTCCGAGGAGGATCGCGGTGGCTACATGTGCCAGCTCAACACGGATCCCATGAAGAGCCAGGTGAGTCGATTGAATAAGTTGCCTTGCCGTGCAGAAACAAATCACGCATACGCACTGTTGCTCGCAACATATTTAAGTAGAGCTGAAATATTTTGAGCCTTCGTAAAATTACTTCGAGGAAAATCGAGTGAATCAAATTATTACAAATTTCCCGAAAAAATATTCTCGTTTGTACGAGAGATATGATTTCCAATGCCGAAAAGTTTTATATCCAGCTTTTCGATTCGCATTTCATATTCATAACACTCGTATTTGTGCGACACCATCAGTTTTAAACGTTGTTGTGAAAATAATTCTCCCCCTTTTTTTCCAATCCATTCTTTTCATGCGGCATTAAACGGCGGAGGAAATGCGAATGCATTGAGCTGTCGTACTTGCCGTTGTTATTGTTTGTTTTTCGTTATTTTCCCATTTCCCCCGCCGAGCTGCGCATTTTCCACCCACTTGTTCTTCTGCTTGTTGGGGAAAAGAAAGCGCAGCAAATCGAAAGCGAAAACTATGCGAGTTCGGGGCAAGGAAAATGCTGGGGCATATAAATTGGCAGCATCATGTACGCACACACGTATAAATTGCGCTCGGGTGTGTGTGTACTTGTGTGCGTGTGTCCTGTCCGCTCACACGTACACTTGTGTGTCCAGCGAAGTGAAGTTTATGGTGCCAATAAAATGTATTTCATGCTTCCTTAATTTTTATTTGTACTTTTACGCTTTTCACAACAACAACAACAACAATAGCAGCAGCTAGAAGGAGCAGGGTCAAAGTGCACCATCCTGCCGCCCCTTCCACCCACCCAATAACCACTCCCCCTCCCCCTCCCCCTCCCCCTCCAGCAGAACTATTTACCTTGGCTTAGTTCATCCTTAGTTTATTCGACATCACTTCGCTCTGCCCGCCAGTCACCATATAAAACACTTTGCCGTTACTCCTGCTTTACGAGCCACTTGCATAATCAGCGAATTTTCGCCAAGTGTACACAGGGAGAATTTCGTTTCCGTTTCGGCTCCCTTTAATTCCAACTCTCATTAAAATGCTTTAAACTATCCACCTCCTTCCATGAGCTACTTAGCTGGGTACACTACTCTTCTATTTAATTTTTAAACGCAATTTCTCGATTTCTGTGAAGAACGAAACTCAAACGAATAGCTAGGTTTTTTCTTTCCGTGCACACCAGTGTGCACTTCTCCCCTACGATTTGTGATAATTTAAGTAAGTGAAATGAAGTCCGCTGCGTGCTAATGTTTCGGCCGGCTTCCTTCTTATTATTAATAAACTTTTTGTCGCTCCTTGCAGATCGGCTTTCTGGACGTCGTCATTCCGCCGGACTTCATCAGCGAGGACACTTCATCCGACGTGATTGTTCCGGAGGGCAGCTCCGTGCGTCTGACATGTCGGTGAGTATGTACCGTGTTTGAAGTCTTTAAACAGAAGAGATCTCATCTGATGGTCCCTTCCAGCGATTATTACCCAGTGTGTTGGGAAGGGACCAGACTAGATAGTTTTTACCTTCGGTCTAACGGCATTAAAGTCGGATTCGAGCGGGAAATTCGGCTTACATGTTGAGTGTTAAATGTGGAATGGCAGTTTTCCTTGACTCTCATTTTCCTTCGGTGTAGTAACGCCAACAAATTAAGTGACACTTCATTTCTCTTGATTTAGCACCGAAACTCCGAAGCTCGGCGGCTACCCTGCGATCGATGCGAATGGGTATGCCCGTTCCAAGGACCGAAGAGACTTGGCTTAGTGCTCTGTAATTCTGTAATTTCTTTGGCAGGCAATCTAATCTAATGTCGTCGAGCCAATTTCAAGGGGTACCACTGGCATTAGGCATTAGGCATTAGGGTATTACCGAAAAGAGTCTCTAATTTGTGCTCGGCTTTCGACGGGTGGTTTGGCGGCTGATTTATGGACTTGACCGCAACCACGAAGTGTTGCTCCTTTTTTTTTTTAACGATTTAACCGCAAAATGATGAAACGTCGGCGATAAGCGAGCTTTCCCGCTTTTCCATGTGTGGATGTGCGAGTGTGGAAAGCTATTAGAGGGCTGTCCGCGAATTTCCTCCGTTGTTTTGTGTTTGTTTTTAATGCCACTTAGTGCAAATCCCTTAAAGCGAATCCCCCTTCCCTTCGGCGCTGCGAGCATTAAGAGCCCCGGCTAATAAACTTTAACGGAATTTAACTCTTGCCGCTGAGGGCTGGCAAATAATTGCGAAACTACGCACTAGCGCTATTGAACTTGCAGATAAAAATAATAGCACATATACCTGCCCTTCAAGCTGCCGCTTGCCTGGGAGATTTAAAGCGATTTCCAGAGAGGCCATTCAGCCATTCAGCCATTTAGCATGAGTTGTCGGCCAGCACAAATTAACTTTGTCTGCCCGTCCATGGGCCTTGTAAATTGCACTCAGTGGCCAGAGAGGAGGGGCTGTCTTGGCCCGACTAAACACGGCCAAGGAACTGCCGCTGACTGCTAACTCTGCTAGCTGTTGGCCCCCAGTCGCCATTGTGTTGGCCATGTGGATGCGGATGCGGATGTGTCTGTGTGCAGGCGCTTTTCTTTTTAGCCATTTTGCATCTGTTTGCGGCATCATAAAAATTTACCACACCCGTGTCTGGTGTTCGCTGCTGAACAACTGCTGTCTTAACACGCATTTCTCCTCGACATACCCACCAATTCGCTTTCGCAGAGGGGTATATTGGCTCTCCGCACTGCTTTCGTATTGGGCTTTAAAATACTTTCACATTTCCCCGCAGACTTTCCCACTGGCAGGAGTGCAACCCACGGAGTGCTTTCCAAATTATTTGTTGTACGTAAAGCTTGATGAAGGAGACTCCTGTCGTCGATTAGGCGATCACACAAACTCCGCCGGCGCCTGCTGGCTCCGAGAGATTCCCTTTCCTTTCTGGTCCTCCGCCCTGCTCCTCCGGTCTGTCTCTGAATTGCATAAAACTTTTTGCTCCACTCGGGCACTCCACAATGGAGCCCTCGGCTGAAGCGTCGTCATATTAAATTTAATAAGCCACTGAACTTGAATATTTTCCATTTGGCATCTCGGCACTTTCGTTTTGGTATTTACCCTCCCATCGAGGGGGCGTGGCAGTTTGTTTGCGGATGCCCAAATGCCTTTCGATCACCTGCGTTTCGAGGGAGGGTTTGGGGTGAAAGTTCAAAGGTAAATGGTAAACGGGCAACTGAACTCAATGGGAAATGCATACGAATACGTACTTGTGTGCCTCAAAAGTATCTTCTAAGATGATTAAGCTCCCACATGACCTACGAAGTGTATCCCTTTGGCATCTTTTCAGGGCACGTGGATACCCGGAACCGATTGTCACCTGGCGGCGCGAGGACGGCAACGAGATCGTCCTGAAGGACAACGTGGGCACCAAGACCCTGGGTGAGTAGTTGGCGGTCCGTCAGTGGTTCTGCGGATGGAACTGTATGTGTTTTTCATCCCGCAGCCCCCTCCTTCCGCGGCGAGGTGCTGAAGCTGTCAAAGATCTCGAGGAACGAGATGGGCTCCTACCTGTGCATCGCCTCCAACGGAGTGCCCCCATCGGTTTCGAAGCGCATCTCCCTCAGCATTCACTGTGAGTACTCGCCCCCCTTCCGGCACTGCGCCATTAATTAGGAGCGCCCGAGGTCGGTCAACTCTCTTCCAGTCCCCTGGTCCCACCTCCTTCCCCTTCCTCTTCCCCTTCCCCTTCCCATCTGCCTCATCCTCATCCCCACACCCGTCCCGTCGCCATTATCAGCATCAGTCAACCAGCTCGGTTTGCGCCACGTCAGCTGTGGCATTTGTCTTACATTAAAGGCACACGTTGCGAAAATGTGGGGTACTTAGTTAGTGATTTATCCGTTCCCAACATACTCTACTGCAGCAAAAAGTACAGCCCTGCCACTCAGAAAAAAACATCCAAACAAAGTTCGTGAAGCTGATCTATTTAGTTATCTCGATTTTGTAATTTTTATTCCCCTTGAAAAACGTGGATTCATTTTCCCTGGTGTACTGGGAGTCCACTCTGTCCGGAAGTCTTACCTGCAGTCCGGCTGTCCGGCAGAAGTTGCGGGGAAATGCGGGAGCGGTCTGCTAAAAGGCAAGCGGCAGAAGACAGAAGACATAAGGCAACCGGCCACTGTGCTCCCTGTTCCGTGCTAACTCGATTGTCCTTGCTGTAATCCGTTCAAATCCTGTCACTGATACCGGGCATTACCTGCTCCGACTCCGACTGCTTGTTGTTCTTTTTCTGCGAGCACTCCGGGCTGGGTGGGCCACAGCTTTTTTGTCAAACTGTCTGCAGCACGTGCGGCTCCTCCCCCCACCCCTCGCTTTTCCGACCATTTCCCGGAGCCCTCCTCCATTGCTTCGCCTTCGCCATCGCCACTTTTGACTCTGCTGCCATGTGGCAGTTCACTCAATCATCAGGGCAGGCGAGGGGGCGTGGCAGCTTTGTGTGTGCGCCTTCGGTGGCGCTGCGTTTGTTTGTCCCCGCCGCTTCAACACCTATTTGTTTTTGCCTCGTTTGCCACCGGCGTGTTGCACCAGCGCCCGCCTTCGAGCCAGTCGCCGAAATCACGCCTTCTAACATTTTGACATTGTGTTAATGCGGTCTTCAAGTGGCATTGTGTCCATGTGTCGCTCCCTACCCGCCTGGAGAGAAGTGGGAAAGCTGTAAAGGGAAATGGCAGGGGAATCCCATTTCGATGTCCGAAAACCTTCGATTAAAATATACAACCTCCGCGGCGCTGCTCTTTTTAAGCATCTGTTGCGTGGCGGAAGGTGCAGAATCGCGTATTTGAGGAGTACGCACCCGCTTTGTGGGGCAAGTTCCCCTCTGCCCCCAGGGCATCGCCGTACTCGGCACTCGACTCCCCCTCCCCTCGAGTTCAACTTCTGGGGCCGCTTGTCAGCAGGAGGCACTCGCTGGAAAGCAGTTATCTTCGAGGAGCAGCCGAGGTGCAAGTCCGGGAAAACTTTTGATCAACTCGAGAGGCGCACTCGCTCCCATTTCCACCCATTTCCCCCCATTCACCGCTCACCGCTCAACGTTTCCGCTGCGTGTTTACTTTTCCCGTTGCCATTTCGCAGTAACTTCCTTGCAATTTGTTTACCAAAGAGTTGCTAGCTGCTCCCCTCCCGAGAACTTCTGGCGGAGTCAGTTCGGCGCGGAGATGGCTCAGTTGCAGATGGATCTGGGCTGCTGCGCGTGGCTGATAAGGGTACACGGCCACAAACGGGGCAGTAGTTGGTGCAAGGAAGCATTCGCATTGCTATTCGATGAGTGTATTCAAAACAAAACACAAGTAGAAATCCCAGATTTTTGTGGCAGTGCAGCGGCAAGCTCTTCCGTTGCACCGAACTTTCCGTTCGCCGGCCTGCGAGGCGCTTCCCCTAATTAGCAGCACCTGGAGGATGTGCAACAGGAACAGGAACAGGTGGCGCATCCCGCCGCGTCTTGCCACATCCCGCGAGCAACATGTGTGCCACGTGCAACACTCGCAACCCGTTCGTCTTTAACCAGCCCGGAATTCCGCCTTCATCTGGCTTCATTTCACTCTTGGTCGCGAGGCACGTTTGTTCAGTGCCTGCCACGCCTCCTTTTCCTTTGGGTCCTTTTCCATGGGTCGCAAATCCAGCAATACGGCAAAAATCACGTACGTGCGAAAGCCACCAAAAAAGCCGAAAAAGTAAATGAAACCAGAGGACTTCACCACTTCTCTTGGAGATCCGCTTTTCAGCGCATAAAACAACAGCTTTTTAACTTCTCGTTACGGGATGAAAAAAGAGGTCTAATCCAAATGCTGTTTTATATGTGTAGGTGTGGAGCGTTATCACATTGCTATTGTATGCAATAGTTCTCTAGTTCATCTAAAAACAGAACTACATATCATTTATAAGGCACCGTTTATAACAGAAGCTGAAATTGCCGTTCGATTGTTCGAGGCTTCCTTTAAAGGAAGCCCAACTGGGGCTGGCTGGGGAAATTCCAGAACCCCCATCCACTTTGCGATGCGATTCGCAACCGGAGGAGTTGGGCCAACACCTATGCCGATGAGACGCACTGTACGCCTGTACGACTAGCAGCTTACAGCACGCACGAGTCCAGACTTTTTGTCACCTTCGCTTCGAGCAACTCGAGCTCTCCGAAAACAATTGCCCGGAATGCAAGTCTGCAGCTGCAGATTGCTGGGAAAGCGTTGGGGAAAACTGTTGGGGCGGCAGGTGGCGGGGGGGAGTGAGGGGATCAAGTGGATGAGGGGATTGAGGGGGGACAGGAGTGGCAGCAGCTGACGACGTCATTAGTGCATATTTGTGGCTTTGTTTGCCGCAAAACGGAGCGAGCTGCAGAGCGAGAGCACCTGACCAAATGGCTGAATGGCCGAATGGCTGGATGGCCCAAAGGTGAAAGGTGAAAGGTTGAAAGGTGGCCGTTGGCCAGCCAGGAACATGCTCAGAATAATCATTGCAAAATTGCAAATCGTCCAGCGAAAGTGCCGAGGGACTGCAGGTCCTTTATCCGGCATAAATGCACTGAGGATAGACCCGAAATGTGGCAGCTTCCAGCTTGCCTCCCTGCACCCCCTTTGCCCCACCCCCTTTGCCCCCCGCTCCACATGTAGATTAAAGCAGGGGCAGTCGACCAGCACGTCAGCCGGCCCGAAGCCTCCTCAAACCTCAACGGACAGCGGCAGCTGAGCTTGGTGCACGTGGCAAAAACGAGTGTGTGGTGTCCGCAGACCTTCGGAGTTTGCAACGTAAGAGTTTCCCTGCCTGGCGGTTGGAAAATACTTAAAGTTCGTTATTTCGAAATTAGTTCTTACCAGAATACTATACATGGCATTGGACTGCGGTATTCCCCGATCAATATTCGGATTAGTTAATTCTTTTAAATGGTATCTCTTGCTATTTAACACCTCTTTGAGTCCTTGTGAGAGTGCATTGATATGGTTGTTTTCCTTTAAAGGCGATGTTTGACAGTTGAAATATTTGCTAAGCCAAAGCTAAGCAAGCCTTTCCTCGGCGATAATTGTCAGCAGCTAATAACTCGTGTTCGGGTTGTAAAGCCCAGAAAGCAAAGTCGCCCGCCCGGTTTGTTTTACATGCGTAAATAAATGAAAATGAAGTTTAAGAGGGCAAACCACAAGCGGCATTAGAGATAGTTGATGGCTAAGACAGAACGCAGTCGGCCATGGAAATCAATTAAAATCCTCCGGCTGGGAAAGTCCTGCGCCAGGACGATGCACGGAGTCGCTCGCCGAAGGACCTGCAATCAACTATCAATGCAGAGGGACGCAGGGAAATGGGAGGAGACAAAGCTGCAAGCTGTAAGCTGCGGGGAGTTTCGGGGTTCGGGGTTCAGAGTCTCTGTCCTCTGGCAGGTTTTACAAAACCACCAATTTCGGTCAGGCCCTTTACCCATCCCTCCCATCGCTCCTCCTGACCATCCCCCAGGGAGCCAGTCTAAGTGACAATAAATACGAATAGGAGAGTTCGGCCATCGGCAAAGAGTTGCCAGTGCAGCGTCCGACGCTCTCTGCCTGAACTGCATTCTGATGAGTCCTGGAAAATGAGTGCGGAAAATGGGGAGCGCACACCATTAAATTATGCCACACTCAATTGGCCTTCGAGTGCTCCAGCCGACTTTTGTGCTGCCCCCACAGGGAGTGTATTTTGTATGCCTGATTCGTACACCACGGACCAAAGGTCCTTTTATCTCAGGTATTGGATCTTCTGGCCTTTACGTCCTTAAAGTTGCTCCTGTCTTTGGGAAAACACAGTTGCAACTGCAACTGCAGTGCACTCTCCATGTCAGATTGGCGTATTTAATTCATAAACTCGTTAACGTAAAATATAATTCCATTTAGATAGAATGGCGGTAAAAAAAACTACAAAATATACAGAGAACGTGGCAACAAACTGTCTTCCAGTGGAGTGTTCTTTTCGGGGCGAACCCGAGGGGTTCTTCTGATTCCAACTAATTTCCCTCCACGAGGTAACCGTCATCCTGCTCCCCGCCAGTCATCGGTGCCCCGTTCCGAATGCTCCGTTTGTCGTCCTTGCGGCCACGCCCCTTCTTCAGGGACTTGACCGTGAGGCCCAGGACCACGCAGGCCACGGTGGCCGCGCCCACGCACATGAGCGCCTTGTGGGCGGGGCGCAGGTTGCCCAAGTTGTTCCCCAGGCTTCCCAGGTGGCCGAGTGCTCCCAGACCGCTGGGCGAGAACGGCGGCAGGAGACCCAGTTGGTCGGTCAGGTTGGCCAGGAACTTTGAGTAGTCCGACATCGTAAGGAGCTGGAAGAATAAATCAATTTGTTAACAGAGGATCTTAATATTTGGGGAGTTCTTTCATGGAAGAAGAGCATGTATCCTTTCTTCCCTTTTATCAGTGATCAACGTACTGGTACTTGTTTCGTCATGGCTTTGTGGCCTCTCTAAACCAACCTTAACGCCAACCTAAGCCAATTTGATGGCCGATCGGCTGGCAACATTTATTTTATTTGAGCACCTCGTACCTTCCATCCTACCATCCCCCTCTCATCCGGCGCCACTCTCGCCACTTTCGTTGCAGTTCATCCGGTCATCCAAGTGCCGAATCAATTAGTCGGCGCACCACTTGGCACTGATGTCCAAATCGAGTGTCACGTCGAGGCCTCGCCCAAATCAATTAACTACTGGATTAAGGACACGGGTAAGTGTGTGCAGTGGGGCTCGAGACCCGTCCGTCCGTCGTCCCCCGATATATACGAGTATATATGTACATATGTGTGCACGAATGTGTGTGTGTGTGTGTGTGTGTGTGTGTGTGCGTGTATACCCTGTGGCATCCGTGTGGCAGATGGGTACATACATCTATGCAGATGTCGGGCTCAGGGGCCGAACGCATCATTACTCCAACATCGATTCGAATCGAATCGAAGCGAATCGCTTGGCATTGTCATTAGTCAGTTGTCAGATTGCGGCACGTTCGCTTGTTGCAGGTGGTGCAGTTTGCCAGTGCGGCAGTGTGGCGACTGTCGAGGATACCCATGCCCCAAAGTACACAGCCGTCCAGGGCTTAATCAGACTTTTTCCTACTCCTGTCAGCGCTCTGCAAATATTACCTGTGTGTTACCTACCTGTGCCATGTGAATTTACCCAGCACCCCCAAATGCCACTTTGCAAGCAGCGATCTTTGATGATGTTCACTCACCGAACGACAGAAGATCTTCTTCGCTTAGTTTCACTGCTGAATTTCCCTAAGGAAATAGTTCACGTTTTAATTCGGTTTTGAACGAACTGAACTGATTGTGATGTTGATCCGCAGGGGAAAATGAAATGAATGAGTGAATGCCTTGCCCAAAAGTCTGACATTTGCCGGGTCCGAGTTCACAGCTTGCTTTGTATTGCTGGCTTTATACCTCTCTCTTTGTCCCCTTAGGAGAGATGATTGTGACCTCGATCAAGTACCATGTGCAGGAGAGCTCGCAGTCGATGTACGAGACCAAGATGTCGATGATAGTCAGGAAGTTCCAGAAGGACGACGTCGGCTCCTATCGCTGCATAGCCAAGAACTCCCTGGGCGAGGTCGACAGCAGCATCCGTTTGTACGGTGAGTCATCCACTGCCGCCACATCATCCGCATCATCCGTAAATCGCGGGGCCTACAGCGGGGGGGAAGGGCAGGAGCCTTAGCCACTGTCCCCAGTTCAGGAGTGAACGAACACCCGAATGATAAACTCACATCATTCGCCGGCTCTGCCACTCGTCTGACCTCCGCTGTGGCGCCGCAAGTCGCGAATCCGCGAAATGGGGCGAACGCGAATTTGCACCTTTGTTTCAATTACATTTTCTCATTCGCTCCTTTGTGCTTCCGCCGTTTTTTGCGCTGCTTTCAGAAATCCCCGGACCGAATCGTAATAAAAATCCGCTGAACGGCGGCGGGAAGGGAGGCGCCGGGGGCGGCGGGGCGGGCGGAAGCCTGGATGCGGATGCCAACGACATTTTGAAGCAGAAACAGCAAGTCAAAGTCACCTACCAGCCGGAGGACGAGGAGCTGCAGTACGGCTCCGCCGAGGACTTCGAGGCGGAGGGCGGCGAGGGCGGCGGGCTGACGCCGTTATCGCCGCACGTTTACTACACCAACGGCAATAAACCGGCCACACATAAGCCAGGCGGCTCCGGCGGCAATCAGCACCAGCATCAGCAGCACCACCACCACCACCACCACCAGCAGCACGGGGGTGGCGGCTCAGTGGGCGGGCCGGTGGGCGGCGGGGCGGGGTCGCTGGGTGGCGAGCTGGGCGGCATCACCCGCAAGCCGCCGCCCTACTTCGGCGGCAACACGGAGGTGCGCGGCCCCATCGACAACAACGAAATCAGCTCCGGCTCCGGCGACTCGCGGCTGGGGCATCGGGGTCACCACCTGCCCCTGCTCCTCAGCCTCCTCCTCTTCCTGCTCCTGCCCCGGAGTTGGCACTGCCGCCAGGTGGCCTCAATGCTGCTCAGCCTCTTATAATACGCAGCCTGATGGACTCACCGACATTGGCATCGGCATCAGCATCAGCACACTTAGCAACAAACTCAACAACACATCGTCGCAACGAAGGAATAGGATTCCACAATAAGGCAATCATCCACAACAGGTTGCAGTGTGAGATACCCAGTGAAAGGGTGTTGGGAACACTTTCAGTAAAAAAAAACGCGAATGGCGTACTATTACCTACCAAACACCACACAACATTTCCACACAACATTTCCACACAACAATTCCACACAACATTTCCACCAACAGTTTCAACAACACTTTCACCCGCATCGAACAACATATATTGCAAGGAGGAAATTCACTAACAGGTTTGTATTAAGCAGTCCAAGGGACTCTACTAAACTTTAGCGAAAAAAAAAACAGATACCACAAACGTTTTAGAGTGTGAGAGTCCGAGGGACCGAGCATTCGCGAACACTGTCACCAAATTTCAACAACACCTTCACCAACAGTCTCTCAGGCAATCAGAGTCAGAGAGACCCACACAAACATGTTGTAGTAGTAAATGTTAAATTGTTTATAACAGAATCGAAAAAGCAGGGATGGTGTTGGGAGGCATCCGTATTTAGTGAATGTATTTAACGCAGGAATTTTAGTGTTACCGAAACATTTGTAAGGGGGTTGCACTGTTAAGTAATCTCGTCTAAAAGTTAAGGGTACCCAAGGGCATTTACTGTCTGTCGAGCTATGAACGAAACTCGCGTCGAAAGATCCTTTTCTCCGACGCATTTTTACTGGGGAGTAAAACTTGAGATTTATCATCTAGTTGTCGAGTCAACAACTTCCGCTTCATTCGTTAGTAATCAACCCTTGCCAGCTTCGGCTGACTTTTTCATTAAAATTTTGGCGGCTGACACACCTTTCGCCGATTTCCAATTTCCCAAACCGATTTGTACAGCCTTCGAAGGGTCAATTAAAATGAAAAAGTCCGCAAAAACAAAGGAAAACTTATTCGATTTATACAAAAATGATTTCTTGTGCTTTTTGTTCGTTCTTCGTTAATGTGGGCTACTTTTTGCTGATTTCTGTTCATTTGTTCATTTGTTCATTTGTTCATTTTAACTTTGATTGACATTGGCAGGGGACACGAAAAGGTGTGGGGTTATGATAAATGGACCTCGAGCCCTTTTCTAATTTATTTTTCGGCAGCATTCCCAATTGCTCTCCTGCTGCGCCTTTAAAAATAATTAAATTGCTAATTTTTATGCAAATTATTCGCACACAAGCCGCGAGCTTAACCCCTGTCTTCCTTTAACCCCTGTTTCAACAACTAGTTCTTGGTGTTTGCCGAAACTTTCGAGTTATTTTCGTTTTATTTTTCAAGACGATGCAGTGGAGTGTTTCTGTTTTTGTTTTTGTTTGTGGCAACGTCTTGTCTTTGCAGCTGGGTGTGCGAGTGTGTGTGGGCGTGCGTGTGTGTATTTTTTTTGAAAGTGTGTTTGGCAGCTGTGGGGCACAAGTTGTGGACACAGAAAACTCTCGGCTCCCATCTGCGTTGCATTTGCTTTTGATGAATTACTTGCATGTCAGTTAACCACACACATATCACACACACACCCACACCCACACACACAGACACGCACAAACACACTCACACACACACAGCCACGTTTTTAATGAAATGAAAACTTTTTGGCAAAGTGAATTTCATTGTAAGCAGCGACCCACCCCGAAGAACCCAAAACAATCCTCTGCCAGAACTTAAAACTAAAATAAAAAACCAAGGCAGCTACAAATATACAAAACCGCCAAAAGCTGCCACTGATGATGATAATAAGACGCTGACAACCGCAGCAACAGCAACACCAACAACAGCAACAACACGAACACAGCGGCAGCAACAGCAACAGCAGCAGCAACAACAACCCAAGAACAAGTCGCTGAAGGGAGGGGGCCTCGGAGGGTTAAGGGGGCCAAGCTGCGGGGGTGTTTTGGCCACGTTGACACAAGTGTTTCAAATTACACAGACTGCGAAGAAAAGGAAGCCAAGCAGCAACGTACAACATCGAAAACTAGTCAACCGGCAGCAACACTTTTCCTGATGTTGCAACTTGCAAGGTTCCTCTGCACTGTGTGCCATGGTGTTGCTGCTGCTGTTGCAGCTCCTGCTGCCACTGTCCATCGGTGATTTTGCTGCAGCTCGTGTTAATGTTGATGTTGCTTGTTCGACAGCCACCTCATGTTGCAGCAGGCAGAGCCCCGCCAAACATTTCGGGCTCCCTTTAAGCTGCAAAGGAGTGCTGCTCCCAAAGGACTGCCTATGTACCTATTAAAGAGTGTTCCTTTTCCCAAACATCCAATCGCCCTTTGTGGTCTTTAACATACTCGTCTACCCGCAACACCGTCGTGCTGGCTACGGTAATGTTGGGCCAAGCATTTCAGTTGTTTCTGCACTCCGGCTCCACTGCAGTTCATGCCACTTGAGCTAATTCTAAGGCTGGTGTCGCCGCGGGGTGTTGCTGCTGCTCACATCGCTTGTGCTGCAACTCCTCTTGTTGTTATCTGTGGTGGCTGCTGCTGCTGCTGCTGCTGCCACTGCCACACTTTCTGCCTTTAAAATCGCGCATCCTTTGTTGTCCTTTGTTGTACTGCGTAAATAGCACAAGAAGTATAAACACACAACAGCAATAATGTCGGGCCAACATGCGCACAGAACAATCACAGAGGAGGAAATATGAGATGACTTAATTATTTTCAATTTAAATTTGAACAGCACCATACTATATATTTAGTTATCAAGTTTCATTTTCCCTATTTATCTCTAACTAAAAACTTGTTTTTGATATTATTTGTTGGTGATTTTAAAAAGATTTCTTGCAAATAGTTTTTTTGCCAGTGCACATATGCATTTTGCTGCTTATGATTGTTATGGAGTCGCAGATTGAGTTGTTTTTTTTGGGGCTTTTCACGACACTTGTAATCAAGTTTTACCCGCCCATTGGTGTGTGTGTGTGTGTGCGTGTGCGTGTGAGTGGTGCCTCTTTCTCTGTCTCTGTCTTTCCGAGTGTTGCATACTTCTTTGGGCGGAGGAGAGCGAGAAGACGCGCCTAATTGCTCTATTTGATGCCTTCAAATTGTATTTTAATTTCGCATTTCCCTTTTTATCATTCCTCCCACTGTGACTGCTGTCTTTAAGTTGCTTTTGTTTCGTGAGTGGAAATGGAATGGAAAGCGAGGAGAAAATAGCTGTTCTTGCGACTAAAAGTCGCTTCAATCTCTGGTCGAAAAACGTTTTCGAAGCTGTTTGAACTCGTTAATATCCATGTTCTTCAGTTGCTTGTTTCGGAGTATTCAGTGTTGACTTTAAAATCTTCCTTTCCCTTATATTATTTTATTCGTTTAAATTTGTCATCATACTATATTATTTGGTGTGTTTTTAAATAATGATGATTTTTGTAAAAATTCTTCTGGTAACCAGTAGTAATTTATTTTCCGTGAGGGCACTTCTTGGCCATCCTTGGACTAAGTTGTATTTCTGGTCCGCCTCACCCTCGTCATAATTCTGAAGCCATTCTTTCGGCGTACTTTTTCCAACCGCCTTTGTTTTACTGCGGCTTATTGTGTTGTGCAGTGTGGCGAACTTGTATCTATTTAAATTTTGTGTGTGGCAACATGTTTATTTTATAACCCGAAGGCAAGAGGAAAATGCAGGGGGAGCTCGGGAGTTTGCTCATGTTTGACGGAAGTTTAATTGAATACACCGCTTACTTGGTGGTGGGCCGGTGGACAGGGGCTTGGGAAGGGACCCCAAGCAGGAGAGGGGGAAGGGGCGGGGGCAGAGACAGGGGCACTGGGGAAACGGTACTTGTGTGCGTGTGCGTGTGCGTGTGTTGGCCGCAAAACGTTTTCCGCATTTTCCGGGGAGAAGGCGGGACAGCAGATCGCTAAAACAAATGGCAATCAAGTTGAATTGTTACACACACTAAGGCAAAGGGAGTGGGGGGGCAGAGGGATAATACGTTGTGGAAAATGCGAGCAAAATATGGGGGAAATATGAGCAAAATAAGAGCGGAGCCTGTCAGCCGCTGGCTGAAATTTACTCAACTTTTTTGATTTAATAATGAAATGAGTGTCGGCTTGAATATTCCTCTACGAGTGTATTTGCATGCTGAGTGTGTGTGTGTGTGGCAGTTTAAGTGTGTAATTCCGTGCTGAGTGCGTGAGTGTGTGTATGGTATCCTAGTATCCTGGTAGCCTGGCATCCTTGTATCCTGGTAAATGGCTGCGCTTTGTAATGTCTCAATGGCTGACAAGCGGCTGTCGAGCAACAGCTTGCTGAATAAGTGAAACACTGATAAAAAAAAACATTGCTAAAATCGCTGCTATTGGGTTAGCAACTGAAAAATGTTCGGGATCTTCAGTTTGAGCGCCTTAAATATTTCTTTCATTTTATTCTTGATTCGTTTCCGGGATGCCGAACGGCGTGTACAGAATATTTTGGATTGTTTCCATCATTTTCCAAGAAATCCTTAAAAAATCTTGTAATTTTTGCTTACCCCGTTTTGGTTTTTACCGGATTTGCGAACTGTTGCTTGCTGTGTTTTGGCAGGGAAAATAGCCCAGCTTGAAGTAAGCTTTTGGCTTGCAGCCGTAATCTTTTCATCAGTTGATGACTGCCGGGCGGCCGAGCGAGAAATAAAATTAAACAAATACGAGATAACAAGCCACTCCAGCAGCAGAAATTCAATTACAGCTGCTTCAGGTTGCTGCTTGAAGTCGAGCAACGAAGGACTCGGTACTCAGTGCCCAGTTCTCAGTACTCAGTACTCAGTGCTCGGTACTCGGCACTCGGAGCACTTGACACTGGCCCGTCTGGCCACATGCCCGAATTGATTTAATTGAAATTTTATTCGAGTCCTGCTCGGCCCTTTTGTGCAACAGTTGTCCTACTGCAGAATCCTTTTAGCATTTGTTGCATTTTAATTAAGAGCCGCTTTGTGCTGGCGCTGCAACAATAAAACCGAATCTACCCACAACATCTAAGCAACCCATACGCATGTGTACATATGTGTGTTTCCCTACAGCTGTGTTTAAAATAATAGTAACACCTGATCAGCTCTAAAGAATTCCTTCTCCTTTTTTTGGAGCTTTCAAATTGTAACTACACTTCTTGGTGGCCGTCAGTCTGAGAGTATAGTTGTGCTTTTTTTCGAAGTTTTCCCCATTTTAATCTAATCAGAGGTACCGCAACTCCCGATGCCCTTACTCCTATTATTTTGAACACAGCAGCGCAGCAGTAGTTCAGTGCGTTTGGCTCGTGTGAAGAGGAAAACCAGCAGATGCTGAAATCATAATGGAAATTGTATAAAAGGACATATAAAGAGATGGAATCGTAGTTATACAGATGGACTCCACGGACATCGGAGCCATTCAAGGTTGTTCATATGCTAAGCGGGATATAGCTCCCTATATGGTACTGTACTTATATCAAAACAATTCAAATACACAATAATATTATGTGCCATTATTAGCAGACCTAATGCTGAACGATAATAAATAAGAAAAACTAGGGAAAATGTTATGGAATCCAGAACCTTCGACTTCTCATATTGTGTATATAGTTTTGTTGTGGCAAAAATCCATTTAAATGTGTAATAAGTTAAGTTCTCCTTGGGTCGCTTTTAAATTGCTATCATTTTAAGCCTAAGAAATGTATATAAGAACGCTCAAGGACAAAGTTAAAGCCAAAATAAAGTGTATATAGCCAACCAGAATAAAATGTAATATGTATTTAGTATGGATTCAAAGATCGATTAAAGACGTTCACCGGAAAACTGAAAACTGAAGCTTAATCAAAGTTATTTCGATAATCCCTCTTGCGAAAAGGAGAGCCACATAATATAAACCAGCAATAAACGCATGAATAAAGTATATCTTATACATAATTATAAACGCGCAAATATATACAAGACAAATTATATATATTATATGGTAAACGAACAAATTCTACAAATAAAGGACAAAAATATATTTATTAAAATTAATCAGAAAGTTTAAATTGCCAGGGCCTGGGTCTGGGTCGCAAGTCAAAGTTTGAGCCGAGGAGTTGTAAAAGCTGAATCTGCATATGGCGAGGGGAGGTCGAGGGGTTCGCAGCCAACAGCAGACAAGACAAGGCGTCCGACCAGCTGCACCAGCAACTTTGGCCGCCCCCTCCCCCCGCCATTATGTCTATATCAACTCGTACATACTATATTTGGATCTCTCACTCAGAGGCAGGATATCCGTTTCTGCGCCGAGCGGAAGTTGTTGTGAAAATAACACAGCAAATAACTTTTGCCACCGCAATGAGCACTGGGCTGCAGCAGACCCCGACCCCTACCCGTCCCCTTCCAACCCCCCTGCTTCGCCAATTTTCCGCCCACTCCATCCCCCCGGAAAGTGCTACGAGTCCCCACACACCCAAGTACATATATTTGCCCAAGGATTCGGTTGCAGCAGCATCAACTGGGTTGACATTTATCGCATATATGTGGTCAGCAGATGATATAAGACGTTCCACGCCGGGAGAGGTTTGCCTTCAAGTCGCTTTGCGTACGATCGTCTTGAGTTTCAGATGCTGCTTATTAAGTAAAAAATGTATTTCCTGCCTAAGGGAGTCTCTTAAAGCACACCTCGACCTTGATGAGCAAATTTTCTAATCATATTTTAAATGCTTTCGCTTTCAATCAGTGCCGCGGTGCCAACCCTCCCCTTTTCCGCCTCTTTAACCCTTAGCAGCCGTTATGGAGCCCAATGGCCCATGACCGACCGCAGCCGTTGGCCAGAATAAAATGAAACAGAAATTATGCAGGGCAGAAGGAAAAGCGAAGAAAAAGGGTTGAAGGTACACCGGAAAAAGAAACCGAAGTGAGCGAATTTACTATAGAAATAATGCGCTATCCGTTATGTTCCCAATGAATAACGTAAACTATCTATTTAAATTGTTGATAAGTGTCACAATCTCTCCGCTTGGATATTTTTATTGGGAACAAAAAGTGTGACAAATTTTTAAAAATTGCGCTCCTTTTTTCGCTCAGTGAACCAGACGCCAGAATCTTCACCATCAGAAATTGACTTTTAATGAAAACAATTGAAAATTCTTGGTGTCTGTGGGCCGGGTCCCAAATGTTGTTCCGTGCGAAAGAAACGGGGCTCTGTTCTCAACCGGCCAACTGGCCAAACTGGCTGCGGTTATTAATTTCAATTAAAGATTTCAACCTCGCTGGAGCTCCCCGCCCTGCCCTCCATTAATTAGGGCGAGAAAGTGGTGAGGGTGGCTGGGAAACTTCCAGGACATAGGTGCTGTGCTATTCGAGGCACTAATAAAGTTGATTCGAGCGAGATTTTCAGGACCATCAAGCACGGCAAAGGCAAAGGAGCAGGATCTGCCAGCTTCCTGATAATATCATATTTCACGAAATCATCAAATTAGCCAGTCAGGAGCAGAGACTGCAGTGCCACCAGCGTTTAAAGCCCCGAGCAAACGGCCAAGTAAGCAAACGCAAACAGACGTAGGGAAAGTGCAGGATGGAAGTTCTTTGGGAGAACTCTAGACACCATTTGCAGGGGGCAGACAGCAGTCGGCGATAAGAGGAGCAGTCTGGTTGGTTGGTCTGGCTTTTTAGTTTCCTCTGGCTTGGGCAGCCGACTAATGCCGAGCACTGAGCAAAGTACATCCAGTGGAGGGGCCATTTGTACCGAAATCCTTCCCCACCTTTTTGTGTTTCTTTAAAAATTTATTTACAGATGTGCATTGCATTCTCTTCGTCTGGTACTTCAAAAAGCGTTTGACCCAAAAATTGTTGGTTTGACATTATTATTTATTTATTTTAGTTATACATATTATAATTTATAATTTGTATAATAATAACAAGATATAGTTCTTACATAAGGAACTAACTTATAGTAATTAAAACTATAATATAATATAGGACGGCTGCACTATCCGACGAACCAGTAGCTCCTTAAGATATGACCTTTTTAACTATATTAAATATTTCTCTTTCAGGATTCATCTATCAACGAGGGCAGCTGGAAGCCGAAGAAAAGGCAAAGTTGCAGGCAAGTTTCTTCGAGGAGGAGGTCAGCGATACAATATACTATAATAAGATAATTAAAGAAACGAACCTATTATTTATTTAGAAATCGAATTGTTGAAGATAATAATAATATTAGTATAAGTCTAAGGAATAGTTGTACTTTTTTTTTTTTTTTTTTTTTTTTTTATTTATTTATTTAGTGCAGAATCTGTACAGCAAATTAAAGTACTTAACAACACAGGTGTCACCAATGAGAAAAGTAAACCAAACCTCAGCATTAAGAAGAGGATTATATATAGTATTTTCTTATTGATTCCTTATCGTCTTGGCAAAGCCTTGCCTTTTGAGACGCCTCAAAGGTCTCGCTGGGAGTAGATTCCTAGCCAGTAAGCTGCGGTGTCTTTCTAATCTATCTCGGTATCGGCTTGTGTGTCTCCCAATCTGTTCTTCCACAGTGTGTAGATTTAGGTCTCTGTGAAGTGTCGTGCCACGCACATACCAGGGACAGTCAGTAATGGTACGTAGAAACCGATTCTGCAACACTTGTAACCTTTTGTAGTTCGATTTGGCTGCGATCCCCCAAATTTGAATACCATAAAGCCAGATTGGCAGGATACAGAATGCATATACTGCCCTCTTGCATCTCAGCGGCAAAGTGCTCCTTCTGTGTGTAAGC